AATTAAATTAAAAAAGGAGAACTTTACCTAATTTTATCTTTTTTTAACTTTTATATTTATTTTTCCAGCTTAGTTCCAATAAATTATATATTTAATTAACTATTTTAAGTGTTTATAGTAATTAACTAGTTTAAGGTTTAGTTAAATATAAAGACACAGGTTAGTGTTTTTCCTCCTTGCATTTGTTTTAAACTAAAGCTTAAACTTTAAGCTAAACTGAGGCAGCAGCACCACAGTAGATCTGCACATGGATCCTGCTGCTTCCTGTCTGCTGACCAATAGGAGAGGAGCTGACCCAAGCTCCGCCTACCTTATTTACATAATGAGGCGGAAATGCATAAAGTAAAGTAAAAACGAGACAGAAATGTAAAAACAACACATGGAAATAAAAAGACTTGTGGGACAATTTATTAAAAAAACAAATATAACCATTTAAGAGACATAAATTCATGTACAAGTAAAAAAAAAAACAAAAATATAGTTTTAAAAAATGTAAAATGTAATTATTGGATCTAAGCAGGAAAAATAAAAATGAAGGTCAATTAAAACATGGTGTAAAATTCTCCTTTTTAATTTAATTTGCGCATTTTAAGTGTATTTCTTTATTTACTGGGACATTTATTTATTTCTGCTTTTATTTCTAATTGTGTCAGTTTTGGTCCTCCACAGTGTGGTGTTTGTTGTGAAATAAAACTCTGTCATGAAAAGTGGTGGGTGACATGCATTCCTTCAAGTAATACTTAGCTTTAAGGTTTTTTTTTCGTATAACCACTCTCTTTTTTTACTTCTTATCTTGCTGATAAAGCGTCTCTTCTCTCGCTGCCTGCCAGTCAGCTCCGATGCCATGAAAACACTGATAATGTTCTGACATTCTCTGCTGCTGCAATTAACCAGCTCCATGTCTCCATTCCCCCCACTTCTCGTTGTTTCTGTCACCCCAAAACACCTTGCAAAATGTCATTATAGATCAACTTTCAAACCTAACAGCACAAGCAACTAGATTTACTTATTTGCTCTGTGTTGTGCTTTTTAGTGTTCCTGTATGTCTCRTCAGGTTTGGGCAGTTTGGCTAATCTGATATCTAAAAGCCGGGGCATTTAATTCTCTTAAAGAGAACATGTTTGAAGTGAGGGATTGAGCCAAAGAGGATGAACTGTCACAGCTGCTGTGCTCCATTTTAGCTTCACTTGGGTAACATGTCCACCGTAGCTAATAGCTTTTTCGCTGCTTCAAATTAAAGCACACAATCATCTAATAGGAGTACAGGGAGGTAGGCGGGGCCTAACAGGATTTATGAGGAGATGAAAAGTGATTGGATGTGAAGTTTGAATTAGAGGAAAGCAGTCCCGTGTCAGACTCTATGAAGGTGACTGACTGGACTGGTGAGTGGCCCACTCCCAGTGGACCGAATCCCATCCAAAACCTGTCTGTCAAATTAATGTGATAGGTGGGCCCTCTTCCCCTACAGGAAAGCTGGGGAAGAAACTCACCAGTTTTTAATTGTAYTATAGCATCCATAACTCTAACTCTTCTGCATTTCAAGTTGAACCATGGTCTCTGCTCAAATGCAGTACTTTACATTTATCTAACCACAAATTACCATTAACTCCAAACATAAAAAGAAGAAAAATAAATAAATAGTGAGGCGGTGCTTTGTATATTCTCAAATATAAAAACACTCCGTATCCCTTTTGCAAAATAAGTTTGGCTGGTTTATCTCAAACCTACACAGAATACAGTGAGAGAAATGTCTGTGGCCTGCTTCATAGGACCACTTTCTAATTACCCTCTCCTCATTAAAGATAGATGGAATATGCCACACTCTGCAATTAATTTGGTTATTGGGGGCTCAAAATGTCACCCGCCTATGTCTGCACCCTACACCTTTTATTGTTCCATTTTGAGGGATCAAGTTGTAAAACAACACGATCAACAATTATAAGAATGGCTTTCATCAGCTTCCTGCAGCTTTCCAAATAAATTGAATTTTTGTATGATGGTCAACTTTCTTTTTTTTTAAAACAGACAAGTTCAATCGAAGAAAACGAACAAGATGTGAAAACTAGAAGAAAAAACTGAAAAATAGAACTCTGTTAAAAGATAACACATTGAAAACCAGTGCTACTCATGCATTTGTGGTGTTGCAGCTGTCTAAAGCATGAACACTTTGATCTCATCAACACTTTCTGAAACTAATACTGAGCTTTTTGTATAATACCTACTGTTGATAACCATGAATGTTTTTTCTACTTTCTTAAACAAGATATTAGTCTCCTTTCTTGTGGTTTATGTGGTAAATCAGTCACGAAGAAACAGTAAAACCAGAATAAAATAAAACCAGAATACCTAAGTTGACATTTTTACATTTTAAACAGAGGAAGAAAAAAAACAAACAAACAATGACAACAATGATGATGATGATGATGATGCTGATGATAATGAAGACTTGAAAAAATAATAGTATATAAGTGTAAAGTAAAACTTCCTGCTGCTGGCAGTCACATCAGGAGTTCTCTGCATTCTCTCTATGAGAAGTGTTTAGACCAATAAGAAAACAAATAATATGCTTTTTATAAGAGAAACCTATCAGATAAAGCACATCTTTTTAAATGATAATATGCTAAAGACAGTAGGAGCAGAAAGTTCATGTTTTCTATCATTTTTCTTTCATTGATTATTCTGCCCATCATTTCCACATAGCCATCACTTTTCTTGTCCTACATCCTCATCTGCCAGCGGGAGTCTAAGCTGTTATTTCCTCAGATCTCATCACCCACCTGTCCTTGTTGAGATAATAATGTAGCTGAACTCTGAGGACCACATCTTAGCTACAGTTAAGTGCATCTCACAGCTATTACCAGAATTTTCCTTCCTCTCTGTCACTTACTCTTTTCTTTAGTCACCCACACATCTCTTACAGCCAGGGGAGTGTAGGAAGCTGGTATTGTGACAGTCCTTTATACATCCTGGACACCACATCAACATCAGTGGGACTGCCCACTTGATAAAGAAGGCTCCAATCCAGGCTAAAGAGCTTTTATGTTCTTTTTTAAAAAACCTCAATAAAGCCATCTCTCTGTCTCTTAATTTCTAGACCCATTTCTTTTTCTCTGTCACTCTTCTTCTGTCTCTCTAAAAGTGTCTCACATTGAAATCTTCCTTTTTGCTCTAAAGTCCCACTGGTCTTAAGCTCTTGCAGTTGCCTTTAGAATAATTATTGTAGCAGTTGCCAACAGGCAGATAGGTGGAGGGAATAAATGAAACAAAGGGGAGAAGGTGGAGGAGAAAGAAAGAAAAGTGAGCAGCAGACACAGTGAAGCAGAGATGATCTCAGAGGCACATTGATAAAGAAGAATAAAACGAGAGAAAAAAGGAGCAGTAATGTAATCCTGCCGTGGGAAGTGTGGTAATATATCATATGCCACAGGTAATAAAATGTCACAACGCCATGGCTTTAGACAGAAGAGAAAGGTTAACTGGCGCTCCATGTGAATATACTTCAACAAGTACTGGTGGATGATATTAAGACTTTGTGCACAGAAATGCTCAGTACAAACTCACAGGATTTCAGGTAAAGCAGACAGATAAGCTCAAAAATCCTTTAAAATATCAAGAACCAGTTAATGCACAGTCAGACAAATKTATAAACATGCACAGACACAAACCAAAGGTGCACGTTTTTTAGCATACATATCATTACGGGGTGCGTGTGCTTGAGTTACCTGCCGCTGAAGGTGAAGGAGGTAATGCTTTTGCCCATGTCTGTGTAACCTGTGTAACTGTAAGCACAAAATATATGCATAAGGAATATCTTGTAAAATCAACATTTTTGAGCATCATATCATCAAAAACATACAGTCTTGCTTTAACTCATTCATGCATATTTGTGAAATCCTGCAATGTCCTGAAGCATTCATCCAGGAGATCAAAAATGGCTGGTTGGGCCCAGAACCGCCTTTTAGGTGCAGCTCCTCCTCTGGGTTGTGTCTCCAAGCCAAGCTTCTTCATCACAGACACACACATCCACAGATCCTGCAGGCAATCGGCAGCAACAACTAGCAAACAGTTGTTGAAACGGAACGTCTGCTGAGGCTGAGCTCGTMATGCTAACTACTTCTCAGTCCAGTCATTTTTGGATTAAAAAAAACACCTTTCAGGAAAAGTATTTTCAGAGGCCAAGGAGACAACCCAATTTTTTTAGGCTTTACAGGGTTCAATGGTTAGACTTCAATTTTGGAAGTAAACCTCCTACGAAAAAAAAAGTTAAATATGTCCTAGCTACTTTAGGGATGATAGCTTTCTGAACAAAAGGGAGTTTAACAGTGGACTAATAACAAGGTTTTCACTAAAAGACGATGCAATTCCAACACTCAGAAGGACACAAACACTGTTGTCGTCTGYCCAGGTAAGCTAACAAACAACTCGCATTGGTTTGTTCAGTTGTTTGGTCAATCTGTGATCTACAGTTAGAATTCATAACATATTAAAATCTGTGTTCTTTAGTTGGCTTACACCATATTTTAGTAATAAATAAATTAGCTTAGCATTGACATGCATGCATGTGAGGATGACTGGGAGATATCTTACCAGGCTGAAACGTTGTCTCTCTATTCACTCCGGTTCTTAAGAAAACATACTTTCCTGGTCCTAAATTGTGTCATAAGTTGCTGTTTTACAAAACCAACATTGTATAATGTTGCTGCTTTTTTATTATTATTACAACAAAACACAGCACTCCTAAACCTGACTGTAAACAGCGTGAAGCTGTTGTGATGATGTGGAGAAATGGGTGTGATGGAAGTGGTAGGAGGTTCTTAAAGAGACAGAGGCCAATTTCAAGACATTTAGAAATGGCTATGATTCAAAGTCAAATTAATTTTTGATTTATGGTGTATATAATACTAAAATTTGGTGAGGTATAGCTAACAATCTCTCACAACATATACCCCAACAGTTACCCAGTTTATTACAGTATTGCATGAGATTTATTATTTTTGAGGTATGACCAAAATGGGTTTAACTACTGTATATTTTCTTAAAATAAGAGGATCTTAGTTGAAACTCTGCCAGGAAAGGCATCGGGCAACAGGCTTCAAGAAATGCTAGGTCTTTAATTGTAACAATTTGTGGTGAAAGCCACATTTAAATAATTTATATCTCCTATTTCTTTTTCTTTCCTGTTTTTCTTCCATTTCACTCCGTCTGTTTTCTCCTCCGTTACCCCCCCCCCCCATCTCTTCTCCGTGAATCCCCCCTTCTCGTTTTTCACCTCCCTCTCACCCTCCACCTCCATTCTTCCCTTTTACTCGCCCGATCCCTCTCTCCTACTCCTTCTTTTGCCCCAAGGATATCTCCCCTCCCACACGGGCTCGCCTCATTCCTCTCTATCTCTCCATATATTTATATCAATGAGCAAATGTCATCCTTTCATCTTCCTCCAGATGAACAGACTCTGCTTGTGGAAGAGGACAAAAGAGAATATGAGCAGAACACAGTTTCTCTTAGTTTGTGAATTTAGCAAGTAGTGGTGAGATTACATAAACTCACCCATGTACAATAAAAAACACATAAATAAATAAAAATCTAAATATGAGACACCTTAACTGAGCAATATAGTGACATAAAATTAGATTTCTAGAAGACTTATGTGTTCAACAAATTAAAACATGCAATAATCAACTGATCTTAGTCTTACTTTTTAAAAGTACAGTTTCATCAATACCAAATCATGAGACAAACCAGCATGTATTTTTTTTCTTTATGAAAAGGCAACTTTAAAAGACACATATTTGAACATTGTTGACCATTAAGACTTAACTACTGTGCCAACTTTATATGTGTGTATATATTCACCCCATCATCATTTTGCATATTAAAACAGAATAAGTCAAAGCCAACATGTAAAAAAGAAATAGTCTCCATGAGAACATACTTTTTTTCTAATTAGCTGAGTAAATGTTCATAGACTTTAATTAGCATGCAAAGAGAGGCCTTTATGCCCATAAGTGCCTCCGATTATAATTAATGTTTGCAAGTTCACCAATCTGTGTCGATTATGTGGTCCAACATAACACAATGTCTCCACGTTGACAACCCTTTCAGTCTGCTACTGTGGCTTCGTGTTAAAAGAGTCAAACTAATGTGAAAGTGAGTTCACTGCCATGTTTTTTAAAGCAAGCACATTTATTTTAGGATAACTCATTTCCTCCCCAAAAAACTGCTTTATTTAGCTCTAAACTCATATTTTTAAAGAGGCAGTAAGATATGAGAAGCAGAGATTCAGAACTTAAGAATAAATTACAAATTAGTGGTTTTTATTTSCGCTTTCAGCTTTACTTTATATTATTTGTTGGTGTTTTCATAAATAAAACTATTTCCCTGGACATAGTGATGTTCTGAATACTACTTTCATTCCATTTTTCAGACAAAAAAAATCTTGTAAACTAATCTTCCTTTTTTGTCCAGCTTAATTGACTCTCAGGAAAGAAAACCTTGAAGTGAGATCTTTGTTTTCCAATCAGCTCTCCTGTTGTGAGAAGCTCATTTCTGACTCCGATGGTTAAAAACACAACACTTCAACACCTGATGGCTCTGTTCACATTTGAAAAGAAAAAAAAAAACTTGTAAGAATCATACATGCATAGATGCACACACACATCAAAGATAATGGAATAACAAGCTCCGTTTGCAGAGTTATTGTGCTAGACTCAGATGAACGCGGAATGAGCCAGAACACCTTTAGTTTTCCATTAAAGGAGAAGCTGTGAGGGAGGGGAAGCTGTCTGGACTCAATGGTCTGTGTCCAGGGAAAACTGTGGAGCCTGAACAAGGGACTGATACGCTGAGACAGAAAAGAGGATGATGATGTTATTGGATATCTGCAGAGACTGTGATTAAATCGTTCTCGCCGAAATAAGTTTTACATTGTCAGTCTTGCTTTCGTACAGCTTTGCTCTTTGATAGTTTCTGTCGCAGTCAGTTTGTCTCACAGGGTTTTTTTCTCTTTCTGACTTCCAGTGTCTGTCTTAACATATATTTAGCCTCTCACATGTTCCTCTTTTTTTGTTTCTTCTTTACGTGTTTGTTTCTCGCAGATTAATCTTAGTGTTATTATCTCCTGAGAATCACATCAAGCTCTTTTGCAGCAACACAGTAAATTTTGCCCGCATCCAGTGCCTCTGCTTACTTTGTAAACACGCTACCTACTGCTTTTGTGTCACTGTCAGAAAATGGATCTTAAACTGGAGTACAAATAAAGCAGTTATGGCTTCTATGAGAAAAAGGAATAAGCTCTACATAAAGAACGCTTGAGTTGAAGAAGAAAARAAAGTCATACTGAGAAAAATCAATATTCATTGGCGGTCGTCATTAAAGTCTCTTCAGCAGAAAGTACAGAAATGTTTTCAGATTCAGTATTCTGTCAAATCACGTAAAAAATCTCTAATGCCATGGAGAAWAAGTATTTTAAAAATCCCAAATGTGTCACTGTTTGAGTAAATGGAAAAGCACTGAATGAGAGTTGCAGGCTTCACAGGAGACTTTAGTTTCTTTTCTCTCCGTCGTCTTCTTTCCTCTCACTCTCAACTTCGAAGTATCTCCTCAGCTTGGCACTTGCTTCAGCTTACTCTCTAAATGGAACATGTGCAATTACAACATTCTGATTTGCCTTTTACAATTTTTCAGATATTAACTGTCATGGATGTTAGATAGATTTGTACAAATGTGTCAGATAAACAAATGTCTCTGTAATCTGTATAGAAAAAAAATACACCTTGCTTGCCAACATGTTGCCAACATGTGGATGGTGTGTGATCTACCCACAGTGCCCGTGGAGCCTAAAAATAACATGCTAATTGGAGGAGGTTTTGCTCTCTAAAACTAAYAAACCATCAGTCGGCTCAGCATGATGGCTAATTAAAGTTCTAGCATTTCTTGAAGAAATGTTTATTGTGTGCCAACTCACAGGCCAGAGTTTTAGACTATGCTGATAAATGACAGAACTGTAACTTTTTTTGGTCAAATCCAGAAAATAGCATGATACACAATATCATRTAACATTGCAAAATCTCATTATCAGAGTATATTTATTTTAAGTAATTTTGCCTACAACCACACCAGATTTTAGCTCAATACAGTATTTGTAAAATCTAATGTTTTTTTTTACATTTTTGCATTTTTTGTGTCATTTGTTGTCATCTTTTTTTAATTTGAATGAACCAAACTTTTTTTTTATTACCTTCTGAAGTGCTGTTAAAATCTGTCCAATGGTTCATCTGCCAACAAACTGTTCTGTCTGGTCAAATTTCTAATGTTTCTGTAAATGATATTGTGTCCCACACAACTTGTGGTGTACCCCARGGTTCTGTTTTGGGACCTATTTTGTTTGTTCTCTATRTTCTCTCCCTTGGGTAGGTAATGCAGCAATTCAGAAATGTGCAATTTCAGCTCTATGCTGATGATATTTAGCTCTATTGCTCATTTAAGGAGGCATGCTTCATAAATCACAGTCCTTAACAAATAGTTTAGCTAACATTAAACTGTGATTAAACAGCAATTACCTACAACTGTAAAGCATTTGTGAAGCTTTTTATTTTTTCTTGCTTTCATTGTGAAGCACTTTGTTATTTTATATCTATGAAATGTGCTATATAAATAAACTTTACTTACTTAGTTACTTAGTTATTTACATACTTAAACAGCAGGGCTGACTCCAACAGATCAAGTATAATATTTCTTGAAAGTTTTCTTTTCTGGTTCATGAGATATTTTGCGAAAGTATAGTTAATAGTTAATGATATTTGTCAACATTTTTATGTAATTTTTAAGAGCTCAGAATAAGTTGGGGATCAGTCTCAACTACTACCACACCACATTTTCAGTCAATATGTGTTGGAATGACTTATTTAAAGTCTTTGTTATGTTTGTTAAGCTTAGCTTGTCGTGACAGCCATCTTGAATCAAACTGACTCAGGTAGTCTGTTATAGAGCTAGAGCAAATGATTGCTTTCTTCAACCTGCTTTAAAATCTGTCTCAGGGTTCATGACATATTTTGGTCACAGACCCATGAACACGCACACACCCAGATACGATCAAAAAAGCTAAAAGGCAAAGGCAGACAATAAATATGAGTCACAGTGGTGTGAGATATTCCACACAGCACATGACACCATCATTAATGGACTCACTGGGAATAAAAGACAAACAATGTTTCTTTTCCAGGTTTATTTCACAGAATAAAACTGTACTTAGGAGCTTTTCTTGTAGCTGCCACAGGACATGTTGGATATGTTGTTTTTAGAGCCATTTTATTCTTCACTGTAGAGACTCACAACTTTTTGACAACAGAGATTTGTGTCTGTTTTTGTCGCGGCGTCACCTTTATGGACCATTTTGAACATGCGCCCAATTGATTTGAATCTACTGGTACCGCTATCACTGTGTGTTTACTGGAAATCAATTCAGACAACAAAATTATGGGGTTGAAAACAGCACAAAACTGAGAAGAGACACAAAAACAAACAAGCCAGTATTAAGCTCCAACAAGTAACTGATAGGCCGGTGTTGGGAAATCAGAAGGCAACCTAAGTAGCAACACATTAGATGCCCTGTGTGCCCTGTCTGGGCATTAGCAAGCCACAAGCAAACCACTTAATGGGACTGAAACATGATCTGTTGTTGGTATCTGTGTTACCATATCCATCACCCCTGGGTTTGATGATTGTTTT